CTCTCTCTCTCTCTCTCTCTCTCTCTCTCTCTCTCTCTCTCTCTCATTTTTATGTACTCGTGTATTATCGCCGATGTGAAGCTGCCAATGATCACGCGCTCTTTACTCATGATGTATATTTCGTAATTACCAAGACCCGGATCTAAAGAGATACCATACCTCTATATGCTATTACACCGACCATGAACTGCAGAGTGTATTGCTGTATAGAGTTTAGTGTTGTGTTGTGAAGTGTCGTATAGAGTGTAGTGTTGTGTAGTGTAGTGTTATATAGAGTGTAGTGTCGTGTAGTGTAGTGTTGTATAGAGTTTAGTGTTGTGTTGTGAAGTGTTGTATAGAGTTTAGTGTTGTGTTGTGAAGTGTTGTATAGAGTGTAGTGTTGTGTAGTGTAGTGTTGCATAGAGTTTAGTGTTGTGTTGTGAAGTGTTGTATAGAGTTTAGTGTTGTGTTGTGAAGTGTTGTATAGAGTTTAGTGTTGTGTTGTGAAGTGTTGTATAGAGTGTAGTATTGTGTAGTGTAGTGTTGTATATAGTGTAGTGTTGTGTAGTGTAATGTTGTATAGAGTGTAGTGTTGTGTAGTGTAGTGTTGTATAGAGTGTAGTGTTGTGTAGTGTAGTGTAATGTTGTGTGTGATTCTTGTCTCTGCATCTTCCGGTTTCAACACATAAATAAGCTTTATACCGATAACCGAATATCACATGGGTTATCATTCATCAATACTATATCGTGCACTTCAAAGTACATTTAGTTAAACAGTATTAAACACATTTTATCGACGACGTGTATATATATATATATATACCACATTTAATCGCTTTTACGTGACCATTTTCTTTTACAAGATATGATATATTGTCTGCATACATGATACAGCGTATTTGTCTTGGCACGACGCATTATTCTCTCTTAATTCTCGACGGTTGAAAATAGTCGTGCTTGTCATGTTTGTAGGTTTAAAATAAATATTGCTTTAAAGACTTTCTTTTTTGTTATTTTGCGTTTCAGAGAACACAATCCCGCATTGGATGTCATTTGTGTATCTAGATAGGTGTCAAAGGTTGCGCTTTGTCTGTATTGCATCCGTGAAACAAATATTGATTTTCTACTTCAATAAGTAATGCCATAAATTAGATGTTATTTATGGGTAAACTACTTATACATGTGCATGATAAATACATTTGTACTGTAGTATATTGAGTCCTACTGGGCGGGGCTACCGGCAAAGCAACGTCATTCAGCTTGGGCATCGGGGAAAACGGTAAATGTGAAAAGCGAGACACGGAAGTTTACAAGTTATAGAAGAATAGTAGAAACGTGAAATATAAGTATTATAACTAATACACGAGGGAGATTTATTTCTTATTTCTGCAGTATCAATAATCCCTTGAGCGGGCCCCGAGAGCACGCCTAGTACGGCCACTTCCCCCTACCTGCACAGGTGTAATTGATTTCCATAGTGTTTCATTAAATAATTTAAGAGATGCACACGTAAGAGGATATACTAACATGGGATATCTGTATGACAATAATTTATTTAAAGACTCTTTAAATTAAATAAAAAAATGTTTTATTCTATTTTATGACAGCGTCCACGTACACTTTGACTGTATATAAATCACAAAGACCACATGAAAGACACAGGAACATGAAAACTAAAGCTCAAGGACCCGATACATAACTAAGCCAAGAGGACATAATAATAAAACACAGGGGCATGATAGCTTAGCCATGAGGAAATGAGAATAAAACGCAGGGGCCTGATAAATTAGCCATGAGGACATTAGAATAAAACACAGGGGCCTTATAATTAGGCCACGAGGACACGAGAATAAAACACAGGGGCCTGATAAAATAGCCATGAGGAAATGATAATAAATCACAGGGGCATGATAAATTAGCCATGATGACATGATAATAAAACACAGGGGCCTGATAACTTAGCCATGAGGACATGAAAATAAAACACAGGGGCCTGATAACTTAGCCATGATGACATGAGAATAAAACACAGGGACCTGATAACTAACACACTGGTACTGGTTTTAGCTAAACACTCAACGAGCATGAAGCGTACTTATTAGTGCCCATAACCTTCTGTGTTTGTAATTTGTGACGAAACTTAAAATATGTAATACACTTTAAGATACAGATATAATTTGATAATTTCAAGCATGAAGTTTGGGAATCATCGATAAGGAAATGGACTATATCCTAATTGGCAATCATAGGACAACTCAATGTGTCCCCCCCCCCCTCGGAGATTTAATTTGAGAAAGACAAGATCATTATCGCCGATGTGAAGCTGCCAATGATCACGCGCTCTTTACTCATGATGTCTATTTCGTAATAACCAAGACCCGGATCTAAAGATAGCATATCCTATATGCTATTACACCGACCATGAACTGCAGCGGCAACCTGAGAAAACCCCTGTGCGGAGGCCCTCATTCTAATCTAGGTAACAATTTAAATCACATGACCGACACCGATCAGACCGCTACGTGAAATGTTCTATAACTATTGATTCATGTATGTAGCCGCAGTGTGCCGCGCCCGCCGTGTACAGGTGATATAAGGAGGTAATCATTATTGTCACAGACACAAATTCTCAGGATGGATTTACTAAAGGATCTCAACAATCCCGAACTTACAGCAAAATTCCAACGTTTCTGTGGAGTACATTACACGAGGAAAGAGTCTAGTAGGTGTGGCAGTAATGGGGAAATGACAGAGCGATCAGGCGGAACATTTAAACCGGCTGAGTTATCAACTTCCACGGCTGAGCAGACGACGCCCTTAAAAAACAATTTAGCCTGTGATGGACTGCAGAAAAGAAATAAAAATCAGATGCTGAAAAATGAAGATGATTGGGAAAAATCAAATGACCCTCCAGCAACAGATATTTCTGAATATACCATAAAATACCGGTTACTGCTTCACTTTTTTACGATAGCATCTTCGCTAGGGAATGAAGCTTTTTATTTGCTGTTTTATCCGTGCTGTTATTGGAACTGTGATTCTCTTTTGATTCGCCAAACTGCTCTCGTGTGGTGCTTGTGTATGTGGGTGGGGCAGGGTACCAAGGATTCCCTCATGTTGCCCCGGCCCTCTGCCCCGCCGGTGGTGCGCCTCGAGACATACTATCTACAAGAATATGCCATGCCCTCCACGCACGCGATGTCGGCTACGGCAATACCTGTCGTATTGGCCTACCTCATTATCTCCAGGTACCAGGTGAGAATTAACATATAGTTAATTAAATCATATATAATTACCTTAAAACATTGTAAAATAGGCGTGACACAAGACAAATTGCACACGTAAAACTCTTCCCTATTATGTAATGTTGTTTATTGGCTGATCATGACAAAGTGGGTTCCATGTCCCCATACTAGCCAACTCTCCCTATTGAGGAGGGAAACTCCCGATGTTGGACCCTTAAATTGAGTGTTTTCAACCAGTGAATTTGCTAAACTAATTTTATTTCCGAAGATCAGCTCAAAGATGCCATTTAACAATTATTTTTTTCGTTATGGTGTACATACAAACCTTTTAGTTATGCTTTTAATTCTGAGGATGTGTGTTCTCCCCCATGGAAATTTCAAAAATTTTGCAAGTATGCACGCACTAAGTTTAGTTTCTGCCACTCGATCAACACCAGATAAAAATGTTCCCTTCCCCCTAGGTATGCTGAGAATGAGATCAGGCAGGTAATGTTACCTGTACTCCAGATTGTGAGGCAGATTGAACTGTTCAGGGACAGTGCATTAGAACCCTTTTAGCCCCTATGTAACTTAAGTAGACCCTACAATGCATTGATATGGACGAGTCCATTATGGTCTACAGTGGTGAAAGGGTTAGGGGACACCACAGCCATATCAGGGACTTTTGTTTATAGGGTGATTGATCTTTGCCTACCCTATTAGTTGAGATAAATGTAGCTATAGTGATTGTAACACAATACTTAATTCTTGCCTCTCCTATAGTGATATGTTACACTCTATTTAATGAGAGAGGTTGTTTTTTTTACTGAGAAATGCCCACCTTTTTGATATGTTACACTCTATTTAATGAGATAGGTTGTTTTTTTTACTGAGAAATGCCCACCTTTTTTGTCAGATCGTAATCTTTAATCGTATCAGTAACTCTGCTCAGTGGTGAGTCTGTATTGTTTAATTGACAATGGCAGACCAAAAAAAGCATTATTGATAAGACTTGTAACAGACTGGTAAACAATACAGAAAAACAACACTCAAATCATGTGTGTTTTTCATGCAGACCGGCTAAGCCCTGAATCTCCAAATGGTGGTCATGACCCCCATTGGGAAATTCCGTGGGGGTGATAACGCGTGACAAAAAAATCACATCAGAATTAATCATTTAATTTTCGTGCCATCACGGCATAACATATGTTGTGTCTTCTGGTAGGATTCAGGACCTTTTTTTTTTAAATAAATAAAACAAATCTTTTCTCCCCCCCTTTTTTTTTTATTACATTCTCTCTTTTCAAAATACTTTTTTCCCTGTATATACAGGTAGTTTGAGTTAATTGTAAAAAACTTTGCATCTTTCATCATTAACACATACTGGGAGCATGAACTCATCTAGAGGCTCCTCTATCTATTTCTCTCTCTCATCTTTATGTGCTACTTATACCTGAATGCTAAACCTCCGAAACACACCAATGGAGCACTTCCGGAAATAGGGAGATACTAATATGAGCGCGGAGGCGGGTGATTCCGGGTCATGTGGACGGAATGCGGGAGATTTGTATGACCCGCGCGGGTCATGAGTTGGTAGCGGGTGATAGGTTAATTTTGCGGGTGTGACCCGCAAGATGCGGGTCATTTAGCAGGTCTGTTCATGTAGTGCTTGAATTCAAACTAAATTGCATCTGCCTTAATATAAAAAAAAGAAAGAAAGAAATCTATCTTATTTGCAAACTGTTTTTTTTATCATGATTTTCACAACTTTGTCTTAAACAACTTCTTTTCAATATCCAGTAGGCCTTAGTTGATGGTTTTTGCAAATGGCATGCTTGAATAGTGAACTACCAAGTTTGTTTAAATTAATGACCTTCACCCATGTTCAAGGTCACAAGTTGAATATGTTGAAATATCTAAACAACTTCTTCTTAATAACAAAAAGTTCCAGGGTGATGATATTTGAGTAGCATGCTTGCATGAATGGCTACCAAGTTTGTTTAAATAAACAACCTTGACCTTCTTCAATGTCACAGGGTTAAAGTGTGTTAAACTTTTAAAACAACTTCTTCTCAATAACCAAATGGCCAATGGTGATTGTCTGTCAAGTAGCATGCAGGGGTAAAGGGCTACAAAGTTGGTTCAAACAAAGGACCCTGACCTACTTTTAAGGGTAAGGGATCAAACATATTCAACTGCTAAAATTCTTCATTGCTGATAATATCTGGCAAGTAGCATGCTGGGGTAAAGTATCAAGTCTGTTCAAATGAATTACCTCGATCCACTTTCAAGGTCACTATGGTTAAATGCAGAAAATAAATTCATTTTTTTTTTTTTATAGCCAAAAGGCCAAGAACTGTCTGTTCAATGATAGAATTCCAAAATTTTCATCTATTTTTTTCTTCTAAAAATCTGTCAAACAGTTCTGTTTTCAATTTTGTCTTTATTTAAAAAGCAGCACTAATCCCTGAGATCTATCTAATTATGAGCAGTCAGCAGTGACTGAGAAGTTACTGGGCTATGTTTACAAATGTTATCTGTATGTGAGGAGAGCAGCTCTGCTCTATCCACAATAAGGTAGATTACAGTCCCCACCTCCCAGATAGAACAGGTCAGAAACTGATATCACGATCAAGTTTATGGAGATGTTTTACTCATTATTTACATTGTGTCACTTTTGTTGACTTTGTCAACACCCTTGCAGTTCAGGATTGAGGAAAATATTAATATACTGCTGTTTAAACCATGTAGCTATTGTAAGAGGCAGCTAGATTTAATTTGGGAATCCCTGCACAAAGAGGGGAATTTTTTTTATGCCTGCTGCTTAGGGACACAAAATTGACCGAAGTAAATCTGCTGCACTCTCGTTGACCGAGATAAATCTGCTGCACTCTCGGTGACCGAGGTAAATCTGCTGCACTCTCGTTGACCGAAGTAAATCTGCTGCACTCTCGTTGCAACATTCGTTGGTATCTTGACATTTTCTTTACTTCCCTTTTACAAACTTTGGTTTCCTAGCTAACGCCTTGCCTTGCAAAACCTCAACTTTGACCTTAGGAACGTTTGACCAAGTTGGAGTAGGCCGAGGGTTCCATCTCAAGGCTAGGACATACAAAGTCCTAAAATGTGATATCATATGTACATGTAATTGCTATTTCCTGTTGAACATTATCAAGAGTAGTTAAAACAACCAGTAAACTTGTTGTCAGTATAACGTGACTGGGTGGAGTATTGTCCTGGGTTCCCTTAGCCTGATCATATATCAGTGAGTTAGCACACCGAATTTGGCCTCAGATATGCACAATCACAACAAGGCAATCATCAAGCACACATGCATACATTACCAGTGGGTTTTTTAACCTGAATTTTACAAAAGCCTGTTCCTGTATGAAGTGGGAAAATATAGCATTATTTTTTATTGAAATTGGGAATATCTTCCTCATTTTTGGACATTTTGGGGAAAGTAAGGCACTTTTTTGGCTAGGAAAAACAGCCGGTATTTAGCTGTAAAATTAGCAAAAAAAATCACTAATTACACACATGGACACAATTGTATGACTCCAGCTGTTACCTATTACGGCATTAACTCATTCACCCCTGAAATTTCATAATGAACTATTCCAACATTTGAATTGGAAGAGTTCAAATATGTCTTCAGGGGTGAATGAGTTAAACCCTATAAAATCAATAAGTTATCTTGTCCCTATAGTCAGTATATCAGGACCAGGAAGTCTTTCCCCGACCAGACACCTGTTCTGTAGTCAAGTACCAGCTAGGTAGTGTCACCCTGATCTACTGAAAGGATCTCCCTGCTGTTGAGTACCTGGGCTGTTTTCGTTTAAACGGTTGAACCGGTCAGACCACAGTTGTTTGTTTATTAAATAAGGTCGGACCTAGTAATCTGATGCTGCTTTCAGACGAGCCTTGACAAAGCCTTGTAAGGCCTACATAAACGTTTGCAGGTCCGCCAGGATTTATACCCGAAATTGTTACATTTACAAATGGACAAACCGGTTTTCCGCATCAACGACCAGGCCCCTGGTAGTGTCCCTGAATCACCCGTGTTTGTGAACTACAGATTGTTGACTAGATACTTCAGTCTTGTTTCAGGCTTACAGAAATATAGTTTGGAATCGTGACCTGCACCATGCATCTTGTCTATAACAGAACCAAAACTTGTGCTGTGATAATCTTTTCTTTTGTGTGGTTTTCGAAATCGGTCTCGACATCAGAAGTACCACTCCTGTTGTATATTATATATATATATATAGAGACTTTATCTAACTCAAATCTTATATCTTTGTATCATAAGTGTACTTCATACATTTAAATAAAGCACAATCCTATTGCTTTAAATAAACAGTTTGATTGTGCAGGAGGTTAAAAGGTTCATTTAAATTGTTCAGGGGGAAATTATTTGAAAAGTGGGGCTTAGACTTAGATTAAGTACTTCACAACATGGATAGAGGGGGCCAATTCAAAGTTTGAGTGGGGCATAGGATTGAAATTTTTCACTTAACACATTAATTTTCAATTGCGAGCTGAAAATGTCAGTTACATTTACAAAATCTATACTGGAAAATAACATATTAATTTATCAAACCTGAAAAGAGTAAGTAAGACTGTTGTTGTGGATTATTTTGCTAAAATTACCAGTTAAAACTCCAGTAGTTTTTTTAGAAATACAGAAGTAAAATTTCAAGGTCTAAATGTATTCGGCACCCTTTCCAATTGAAAGAAATTAAGACATCATTATTTGGAAATTATCAAATGTTGTTGCAGAATTATTTGCTGAAAATAAATCAATAATTAATAAAAAAAATCACTGGAAATCTGAAGCGCAATTAAATGAATGCATCAGATTTAGTTTGTGTTTCAGTATTTACACAGTATATGCAGGCTTCCATATTGCGATATATATCTATATATCCGGGTTAATTAAGCTATGGACATTTTTATTGGACATTCAGTCATCAAAACCCTGCCATAGTAATACGTGGCATGACTTAATTGACACTGGTTTAAGTTTCT